GAGGGTTATTATACATGCGTGAGATATCATTTGGGAATAAATTTTTGGTGCACCATCGCATTGAAGTTCAGTGCGATGGTAGTGCATTTTTACTGGGTAAATTTTTAGGTCCTTAAGATCCGCCTACATATCTTAATAAAAATACACTAAATTCAGTGCAACAAGTACACCTTAAACTTTTCCATCACTTAGGTGATAACTGATGTGTTAGTTACTTTTTATTAAATCCTTTCTTTTTGGCATTACAAATTAGATATATACTATTATACAATGGATATTTATGCACTGTTCACTACTCCTAATTCTTAATGATAAATTGACACATAAAAAATAGTTTTAGCACTGAACAGTGGCGGACCCAGAAAATTATATGACGGGGGGCGAAAATTTATATTACTATTATGAAAAGGTAATGTCAGTTTTGGTTGATTGAGAAGAACCTAATAAAATTACAGAATTTTTTGCCAATTTTTTGTTTCCAGTGACAGTTGTCCAATGCATCTTCTATTTCAATGAGGAACTAGCCTTAAGACCCTATATTTTGTTTGTAAGATCAATTTTTTATTGTTTACCTTCATGCCTTAGCTGTTATTTAGGAAAAGACACAGTAATTTATTAATGTGTTATTTATTTTTAGCATTTGGTCCCAACTAATAATTGATAACTATTACTGACCTTTTTTTTGTGCCAACAAAGTCAAAACTTAAATACTCTTCTCCTGAGTTCTGACATGACAATATGTATAAATTTTTAATGATTATAAAAACAAAATTAGATAATCAATCAATATAAAATCAAATTCTAGACAAATTTGATAGGTAGAGTGAATATGCATTACTAACTGAACTCTTCTTTGTATACAACGGAAAAGCCAACTTTTCACATTGATTGAGGAGAGTAGCAGACCAAGAACAAAATCTGCCATATGTACTGGCAGGTTAAATCTGGTAAAGAATAGTTATCTCTAATTGAGTGTAATGAACGGGTGGAACACTTCTCTTATGAATAACATCGCTTGTCTTTCACTTTTTAAAAGCACTTTCAAAATTTTGCTTTTTTAGACTATGTTGCATATCATATAGTAGAATATATTTTCATATTTTAGAGGGGGACTAGTAGGTCCGCCTGTAACACCCCGTTCTAGAACCGGTTTGTTAACATCGCATTATGATATTAAGCGCAGTTACAATCACATGGGTTCAATTAAAATCCGGATAAATTTTTTCATTTTAAAACATACCGAACTTATAATACCCAATTCCGTGATCATAACCGTATTACCATGCGGAATCAGATAAATTAAGCTTAACATCATGTTCATATTCTATTTTTAAACCATTAATTTACTTCCTATTTATTTCACAACTTCTACCCTATTGTAGATCTCTTCATTAGCTACGCGTGGCTTCAAACCGCGCTCAAATCGGAGCACTGTAGCCCAAGTTATGACAATTTGTAGCAACACAAGAGAGTGTTGGTCACAGGCCCCGCACGCTTCAGCGCGCTACCGGGCGCTCAAGCGCGCGCTATCGGGCGCTCAAGCGCGCGCTATCGGGCACTAAAGCCTCCATCTGGGCGCTTAAGCGCACGGAGGCAGGAAGCATCAGGTATTTCAGTGTAAATGGGCGCTTAAGCGCGCACCAGGGCGCTTAAGCGCGCTATCCTGGGCGCTTAAGCTCCCATTTAGACGTTTTAGCGCGCAGAGACAGAAGCATCTCCTCCCTCAGTGGCTAAGGGCGCTCAAGCGCGCAATCCTGGGCGCTTAAGCCCCACACTGGGCGCTAAAACTCGAGGAGACAGTAAGCCTCCCTCCTTTCTGCAGCGAAGGGCGCTTAAGCGCAAACCAGGGCGCTTAAGCGCGCAATCCTGGGCGCTTAAGCCCCCACTTGGGCGCTCCAGCGCGAGGAGGCCGAATGCATTGGCACTCACAGGGGCAGCAGGACGCTTGAGCGCGCTCTTGGGCGCTTAAGCGCGCTGCCAGGGAATTCCAATTCCCACATTTTTCAAGTCCAAGTCTAGGGGAAGATGCATCCCCATTCCAAACCCCAATTGTCCATGCCCCAAAACTAAATCCTAGCACTCATCCAACCTCTCCTCATGAGATTTAGCTAGAATCTGGGCAGCATAACCTTTGTTTTCTCAACGTTTCCCAATTTAAACAAAAGGTACCTAATTGATTCTCAGCCCAACCAATTCAATAACTCAATACATAACAAGCATGCATATATTGAATTCCAAGTAGGCATCATTTACACTACATATCCATTACAAATCATGGAACTTAGCTTACAAAACACTATGATCATTCCCTTGGCTCCCATCAACAAAAGAGATGACCAAAGGCATGAGCATAGGCTAAGTCCATTCCAATATACAAATCATACATCTATCAATGGTCTATGAATTACAATCCTATACATGTGAGCTACAAAACAACATGTATAATATCAAAATACTGGATCCTCATGCATCAATACTAGTCCAAGTATGGCCACTTGCCACTGGTGGCTCCTGCAGCATCCTTACCTGAAGGGGTCCCCACAACACGGGGTGAGATATACGAATATATCCAGTAAACCAGGGGTCCTTGGAGCATCTCTCCACCCCACAGTTCCATATCAGTGTAATAGCAATAACAATAATAATGCAGTAAATACATATCTATGCAAAGTGCAATACATCTCCAGGAGAAATCCCTCGAGCTCTCAAGCTGTCCTAAGGAAACTCAGATGCAAATAGTCCTACTGGCCAGCTAACTACCAAGTATGATTTACGCATCGTCATGCAACATACCAACATAGGGAAACACCATCCTATGCCACACCAAATGCATACACATACGTATAACAAAGCATTACACTATTTTATTGCATTTATATACACAATCACAACCTCTACCCTTTCAGGGCTTGGTAGAACAGTCAAGGGAATTACACCCAAGGTCCGAAGGCTTACCTCAAAGCTTCCGTTCAACCTTTGTTCACCACCAACAGTTCAGCAACCAATCAACTTTGGTTTCAACAATGACTTACAAGTAACACACCTATTCCAATGAGCTACTCAAGCTCCATAGCTTGCTCAAGCGGTTGATCACTCACGGTCGGTCCAAATGTCTCAATCCTAGACATCATTAGGACACAATCATCAATCAACCAAGCCATACCATTTATCAACAATGCAAGAATCCAATATCTAAGTGTCATATTCTTGCCATTTTTCAAATATAATCATTTAGCTATCTAAGCTCATTTTCACCGATTAAATGACATTCTTAGCATTTTCCATAACATGCTCTAAGCTCCATTCTTCCTAGAACATAGCTAATTTAACAACATTTCATCACAAACCCCAATTTACTATTCATTGAACCCTAACTCATGCAATTTTCCATGAAAATAAGGTTCAAGGGGTAGAATCTTACCACCAATGGTTGCACAACCAAGCAAGGAGCGTTCCTCAAGCTCCCATGGAGGTTGAAGCACTCAAAACCCCAAATTTCTCCAAAGGGCCGAATTTTTGAGAGGAAATATCTCACCACACAAAGCTCCCCACTAAGAACAAAGCTTGGATTATGAAAGAGGGCGAGATTCTAAGCGATTTAGGCTTTTGAATCACCCAAAACCATCAAGGTTTCCTCCCTCCTCTCTCTCTTCTTCTTCTCTCCCTTTCTTCTCCTTCTCCTTCTTCTGTTTGCTGTCGACGGGCAATGGGGGGGAAATGGGATTTTCTTTGTTCTTTAGTCACTTAACATAGGTTAAGTGACTTTAAGCGGGTATTGGTTTGTCTATCTATTCAACTCCATTAATTACCAAACTTTATCCAAAAGTCTGGAATATTTTTCTAGGAATATTTATATTTATATTTTTATATTTTGGGCACTTTTGCCAGTACCCATTTATACCCCTTAATTTTCACTGAGTACACATTTTAAATCCAAAGTGACTCAGATTCATTTCATTAAGCCTTATACTTAATTTTACTCACTAAAACATGCTTAATTATTTAATTACATGTAATTTGTTAATTAATTAGGTTAGAGCTATTATACCGCCCCTGGCACTGAACTACTCTAAATTTCAAATTCTTATTATATTCTTTGTAATCTTATCATTAGCAAATCGGGCCTTTTTAATTTTATTGCTAAAAACAATTTTTCAATTTTTAGAAGAAAAAAAATTAAAACTAAAATTATTTGAATAGAGTTATTGTGTAAAAATTACTCTCAGAACGATAACTGATTTTTTAGTTTTTAAAACTAAAATTGAAGAATAATTTATAAATGTTCTCAAAAAATTTATTCATAAATTTTATTTTATTTTGTGAAAATCCGTTTTCAAAATTCATATTATAAAACAGTTTTAAAGAATAAAAAAGAAGTACGGAGATCACTAAGCATGAAAGATGTAAAACTTACATCTTATCAAATCTACAATTTAAACCTTAAAAAGCAAATATAAATTCTTAAGGAAAGTTTAAATGGGGCAATGACATTAGCACCAACAGTGGATCAATGTTATTCATCTCTAACCAGGTCAGTGACACTTGGGCTAGTATCAAAATTGCATCATGGCTTCACCCAGCATCCTCTTCAGTTTAATCTATCTCTGATATAATGGACCTAACTAACGACTGAATTGAAATATAACCATCCAAAGTCCAAACTATATAAAAAAATATACATATATGTAATCATCCAGAGTGAAATAAAATTGAGATCTTATTCTTGTTTTTATGCACAAGCTTTCTGGATTTCCTCGACCAGCGTTACAAATGCCACTCTCCACTGAGTGAGTTGTGCATCAGAGCTGAATAACTTATGCATTGCACTTAACCAGTTTCATTTCTTCAAACGAATGATAACTTCCTCCTATGTTATCTTGCTTCTTCCATTTTAAATCTACACTTCCTCTTATGTTATCTTGCTTCTTCCTTTTTAAATTTACACCAGAAAGTTTGGTCTTGCCTCCTATGTTATCTGCACTTGACTCATCAGGACTTGCCTTTTTCAAAAATCCATGTAGCACCAGTTTCATTTCTCAAACGAATGATAACTTCTTCCTATGTTATCTTGCTTCTTCCTTTTTAAATCTACACTTCCTCTTATGTTATATTGCTTCTTCCTTTTTAAATTTACACCAGAAAGTTTGGTCTTGACATCACCTAGAGAGTTACTTGTACCATGAGTTAACTTACACTCATCAATGGCAACAATGCCTGAGGATTCAGGGAGCACTTCTTTGTTATTCCAGTACTCTTTGCATTGATGACTGGGATCTTGAGCTTCAATGGCCTTAAAAAGTTTGTCACAATGGATTAAAATTAAATATCACAAGTTAGATTGTTAGAACATAATAATTCTACATTAGAAAAGATAAACACCACTGGTATTAGTTTTAGCTAAACAAGGGAGTGAATATCTCAAAGATTAATAAGTTTGCATTACCTGAATAATGAGTGGAGAAAGGAATCCAAACATTTTATGGCCGTTAATGTTTTGCAGAAGTTCCAAGTGAGGAAGTTCTTTTCCAACTAGACTCCTTCGCCTCTTGATTTCATCATTTAGAGTCTCACTAACTCTTTCCCAACACTTATCTGCTGACGTGTCTGTGAAAGCGTCACTTGGATATTCTTCCATGTAAACCTGAAATATATTTTACTGAATGAGAAAGAAATATACTTCAATCATGAAACATTTTTATACTGGGAGATTCATAGCACCAAGCTGCCTTTTGTGTAAAACGTGTCCATGCAAATAAATACAAACTCCGAATCATAAAATTAAAAACGAGTTTAGCAAGAAATCAGTATTTTCTAGTACCATTAATGAGTTTTATAGCTGTAAAAGAAATTATCACTTTCTTTCTAGGACAAAGATGACTATAAATTTCTGCTGTCAATTAAGCATACATGATCCTCAATTTGACTTAAGACCAGTTATGACCACAAGACTGCTAATGTTCGGAAATTTGAACTTTAATCTGATACCTACACTCTGCCTTTATGTGTTGAATGGCCAACTTCAATATTCTAATAAGAAAACGACAGCACAAAAATGAACTCCAAAGGCAATGGAGCTGGAAGATAATTGATTTCATGACTATTAAAACCAACAAAATTTTTGGCTATAAACCAGAAATAAGATATATCTAGATACAGAAGCTTGCCAATATGATTTTAAACTTAAAACAGAAACAAGGGGTCAGGAATGATGATACCTTGAAAATAGGCCCAAGAAATGTTCCATCGATGACTTCAGAAACATAGTTACAGGTGCTTCTTGGATCAAAAATGCTAAAGAACTTAACACGACTTTTGAATCCTTCGCAATTTTGACACAGTAAAAAGAAAATTTAAAATCCCACAAAAAACAATTGAAGGTATAATCTAAATCCAGAAAAGATCTTACTGCAGCATACCTTTTGGATATATTGCTTGTTTACTGCACCACAGCTTTCCATACGAAACAGAGCCCAAACGTACATACTCAACAGAAATACCAAAGTTTTGGTTTGTCAAAGATATACTTGTATTGGAGGAGGTTACAACTTTCCTTGTAAATTCATTGTTGAGTTTCTCTCCTGAACCTGAAAGCATTTGCCCAAACAATTGACAACCATCAAGTTTACAAGAATTTCGAACATCCCTTGAAGATGACGTAAAATCTTTCTCCAAGACAGTATTGGAGGCCGATTGGATACCACCAGCACCAAGTTCCATGTCGTCTCCTTCCTTTCTGGCCTCTGCACAGCAGACTTTATCCACACATTGAACACACTTATTATGATGGCCATCAACAATGCGTAGCAAACTACTTTCAGGTTCATCAGAAACAACATCAAGGTTCAAATCCAAAGAACCTCCCTGCTTGTTGTCCGCGGTCATCATTTTGTTGATCATATTGTCCTTAGGAAAATCTATAGGTGCAGGCGACTCCGAGGGGCCTAATTTTGACTTCTCATTAGTTCCTGCACAAGAAGTTGAGCTTTTTCCTTCATGACTCTTCGTTTTGCACATGGCGCTCTCCACATCTTGTCTACACATGCTATCATCTGCAGCATTAGCAGAAACCATTCTGGTGTTTCTATTTGCCCACACTTCAATAGCATGTGATTCTCCTTCCAATGCTTCGACCAATGTACTTAGCTCATCCATAGTAAAACGAAGTAGAACATATATTTTGTCCTTTTTACATGAGCAAAGCAAATTTGAGTGCTTAAGACAAAAATATCTGCCAGGAGAGCAACTGCAACCTACAGCAGAAAGATGCAAGTCATAGAAGCAAGAGAAGCATTCTTTTTCCTCAGACAAATCAAAGTCACTGTCCATCTTCAGCATCTTTAAATTAGTAGGAAGACAGTCAAGCCTTTCTTTTTCTATCTTTATCCTTGTCTGTCAAAAAAAGGGTAACAGAAAAAAATTTAAAAAAGAAAAAAGAAACAGATATCTGCATGGTAACTAAAGTAATAAATTCCATCCAAAATGTTATGGAGCTTTCAAATATGTGAAAGGGGTTAAGATCAAGGAGGAGAAAGCACGCAAGAATCATTACCTTAACTGCATTGGTAAGAACTCCATCTTTCCCACAAACACTTCTCCATTTTGAATATTTTAGATTTTCTTTTCCATGGAGAGTTAGCTCTACAAGGGCTAGTACAGCTTCCTGAGCTGACCCAAATAAAACCTTGTCATGGGACAATGTTGTCTTACGGCACTGCAAACTGTAAAGCTCAGCAGCATCCTGGCCATGCACAAACCAATCAACAGGAGCCACATTCACTGCCTCTGCACAGTTGAATCCGCAGTTGAAGCCACAGTGGTATGCCTTTGGAAAGGTAAGGACAAATTCCCCTGGATGCTGGACGGTGCGATACACAGGAACTCCCTCAGATTTAAGAATTGAAGGAGATAACAGAGTCACCTGCTCAAAGATTAAATCATAACCACTAGAATCCCAAACTATATGTACTGCGCATAAAATACTAAAATAACTGACACATGCATGAGGGCTGAATAGATGTGCTAGAGAGTTTCGGAGGTAAGATAGTGTGATTGCTATGGTAGAAATATAATTGTCAAAGTTCAGCACACTAGTGACACTACATAATGAGAGAAAGGTGACCAATACGTAAATGTACAATAAAAGAATTTAGAGAATATTAATACAAAACATGACCACGTCGAAATACGTTATTGTCTAAGTTAGTAGCTTACATAAGAGCACTACAGCAAAAATAATAGAGCTGAAAATTTATGTTCAGTACGGAACAAATCATTGAGATGATGCTTAGACACAATAGGATCTTGCTGGGTAGACTCTAAACTGAACTTTGACTCACCCAAGAACTATTGGGGCTTGAAGTGTGGATAGTGTATGAGTCAATCATACCTAATGCTAAAATTTAATTTGATTATGAAGAATGAAGGTGGTAAGATTTAAACTCTTTGATCACTAGATCATAGAGGCTCAAATACTATATCAAAATTATCTCCAAAAAGCTTATTTTGTCGAGTGGAGGCCCAAGATAGTTTTATATCTCCAACAGGGAGAATAACTGCGAAAAAATTCTGTCTTTTGATACCTAACACTGTAGCTTCCCTATATTTTTCTACATAGACTAATCAGAGTGCCACACCTTTAACTAAATAAACATGCAGTGACATTTTGAACATTCAAAACGTTATCATGATTTTAGTTTATTAACCTAAATAAGTGCATTAAGTGTTCCTAGCAAACTGCCAACAAAGAAATTGCATTAACTAGAATCTGTGTGTCCATGAAATATCTACAAGGAGGCAATAAAGTAAGCAACCAAAAAACTGAAATCAATAAGGAAAGTACAACTTCAAGTATCTTACCAATTCATTAAGCAGATTTGGTTGTTCTTCAAATAAATCAGGCAAGTGCTTTTTCATTGCATCTTCCAATGCTGAAGCATGGCTTCCAGGTACTCCATACCATACTTTTGGTTCACCCCAGTGCAGATAATTAAGCGAATAGAGGTTATGATCCTCAACATGCTGTTGAAGGAGCAGGAAATGAGAACAAGGTGTTACTCTTTTACTTGTTTTACATTCAAACAAATCAAAATAAGGCAGTGAACCTAAAACGTTGGGCGTGCTAAACATACTAGGGATTCTATAAACATCAGCCACAACTTATTGATTATTCAGTTGGAAGCTATTTATTTTTCACCGTTGAACCTTTAATTAAATTAAAATATTTATAAAATAAACATATGTTAAAATTTTCAACTCAACTTTCTTGAAAATAACTTTACGACTCTACAGACAGAGACAGAAAGAGATGGAAATAGAAAATCAATATGCCTTAAAGTTTGCATCATTCATAGATTTAAACTTACAAAAGTGTAATTCTCACCACTTACCCAGCAAAATGTTGAAAAGCACATTCCAACATACATCCATGGAACTACAACTCCGGAGATATCACTTCCTTCAAAATATAATGCAGAACCTGGCTGTCGCGCAAAGTTATTCAGATTCCAACCAGACATAGCATACCGATCTGAATCACTCTTAGTTAAGGATGATGGCTTAGGAAAACCACTTCCAAGTGCACCAGTGTCCACGTCAGCTCCATAATACACCTACAAAATCACAGAGCAACACATAAACTGCTTGCCTAATTATGTGATAGTAAAGACGAATAACATTATCAAAATAAACCATAATTAGTACCTCAACCTCATCGGTTGGTTCCTCAACTATTCGCCAGAATTCACCTTCAATTTCCTCCATAGAGGGCTCCCATCTCTTGTGATTATTTTTACTAACTTTTCCATCTTCATTGACAGCATTCAACCCAAAGTAGCAATCTTTAAAAACATTAGCATGCTGCTGAAAGTCTTTAAGTGTGAAGTCTGACCCTGATTGGAATCCAAACTTCTCACCAGGTTCAGAAGTAACATTAGCTTCAGAGCCTGAATTTGCAGTTTTCCTTAATGAACCCTTCCTTGAGTACTTTCTCCGTTTTGGTTTCCTTCCCCTACTTTTCTTTCTCATGGGTTCCCTGTTCTGAAGCAAGTCAATTTGCTGAATATGGGTGGGAAATTTAGCATTTTCCCATAAATCTTTCTCCTTGTGAGTACAAGGTAAAACCCAGGAAACTGGAGGGACAATCCTACATATGCCATGGGGTTCAGCTTCAGGACGTATCTTAGCAATGTAACCAAGTGTGTCTTCAAACTCCTGATAATAAGAGTAAAAATAAAAAAAAGAACCAATTCAAAACACAATATTATTACTACCAGCAAAAGCTATAATACTATGATAGTGATAATTAGAAGTACCTCAGGAGTAGGATAAAACACAGGTGCTTCATCAATTACATGCCGACATGCATTTCCTGGATCCCATCTGGCTGTTATCTGCAAAGTGACAACAATATATTTATATATATATATAATCAATGTAATTTTCAATCATTCTTTTCATCTGAATATCCAAATTGATATTTATACGATATATGTCTAAAAAAAAGTGAAATTAGTAACTGACTAACTTCATTGAGTATACTAAGACACATTCTCAACACAGTAGAACATACTGAATACCTTTCTTTTTTGTGGACTGCCAGAAGATTCAAGTGCATTTTCCTTTTTTGGTTTGTGCCTAGAAGGATTATCCTGCAAAATATCACGTGTGAGAATGCTGAATTTGTGGACTCAATAAAAATAGGCATGGAATAAACAACAAAGTCTAGCAAAGTATAACATTAATGTTATTACAGCCCCAATATATCAAAACGATTTGATATAAACACTGTAACAGCTTGATTTCAAAGAGATTGAAATGTAATTAATTAAAAGTATAAATGCACACAAAAAAAAATTCAACATTAAATTGCAATGTTATGAATAACAAGCTATAAAAAATTGAGATAGTCAAGCTTTCATGCTACATTAACTAGAAATCATATGCCAAATTCTGGAGTTTCTAGTAAAGACAGAATAGTGACTCGATCATGAACTTGGGGCCATCTAATCTTCCAAAACAAGTTATGCAACTTTAATGCCCTTTATTTTCTTATACTGGTCGGGCATCAGCAGTTTATACCATCAGACAGATATCAAATTTGATTGAAGCGGCAAGAAGGACCTCTTATTTGAATAAGTTTCCCTAAATAAATTTCCAAAGTCAAATATCAAAGAATGGAATAGTAGCAGTATTGGCTCATCATAGCTGCAAGCTTGGGGATGTCCCTCAGAATTAAAAGATTACAGGATGCAATCATGTAGGGAAAAAATTCTACATGGAATGTAAAACCAAAGAAGTTTTCATACTTAACACTTTGGAATCATTCTGGTTACTTGCTTCATAGTTTATTACAAAACAATTCAACCAGTTACTGAAGGATTCACTAAATTTAAGCAAATTGCATTTTTCTAGTTCAAAGTAAAAGGAAAAAAATGCTACCTTTTATTCTAAGTTTTAACAAGGTAGTATAGTACATTGGATTAATATTTTCAAATGCATGCAATGCTCTTGAAACCAAATAATGTAATTCTGTAGAAAAGGGGGGGTGACCAAAGGATTAGGCGATCCCAATGCCAGATGTAGGTTATTCCAAAAAGCTAAACGAAGGCAGCACTAGCCGCCACCATCTAGGCGAGAGTTTCCAATCTTTCCAAACGCCAAGAAAAAAAGAAACCATATGACATATAAAGGACATGCTACAGTGTAAATAAAAATAAAAATTAAGGGTTTACAATTCTTGGGTGAATTAACATCATCCTTCTGAAGAACACTCTCACAAGCGACAGCACAATCACAATCCCAGTGTCTTAAGCAGAATGAGAAAAGACACAACAAATAAAAAAGGAAAAGATACACAAAAATAGCAAGAATTTTCAAATTCCATAAACAAAGGATAAGATCTGCAATTGGTTGGGATCCATAAAAACAGAGGAGAGAAAATTCTAAACAGAGGAGCAGCACATACACATTGCTACGGTTAAAAAAAAAAAAAAAAAAAAAAAAAAAAAACCAACCTCATTGGCGTGAGATTCTGCAGCCAATTTGAAGTGTTCCATTTAATGCAGAATGATGGTTAAACCCAATTGAATTAGCTACTATGCCTGCACAAAAACAGAGACCATTGTAACTATACTCATTAGAGTACCAATTAACCCAAGGACACAATCCAAATAGTTTTTTTCACTTCTCAATTACCAAACTAACGGACCCCCAAAGAAACCTTAAAAACTGCTAAAGACAAACAACAAATGCAGAACACAAGCGTACTCAATTTAGCAAAGCTCTTGGAAAATAGTTTTGTTACTTACCACGTTCTCAAGAGACTCAATCAGTTGCATACAAAAGAATTAACCACGGAATTCCTATACAAATCAACACAGCAAAGAAAACCCAAGAGTAAATTCAATTGAATGGACATATACATATATATTGTATCCGTGTATGGACCAATCAATTTATCAAAGCCCAAAAATTTGTAAAATCGTACAAAATCTTGGATTCTAATGCCCAAAATCAAATATTTGATTAGGCATATAAAAATAGAAACAAGAGAATAAACTCGGCAAAAAAAATAAAAATAAAAATTATATAATATATGTTGACAGGTGGAATGGGAAACAAATTAAATTGATAATTATTTGAAATAATGAGATTGGATACGAGGTCCCAGGTAAAAATCCAACAGTAATACGTACACTACAAAAATTTTAATTCCATATAATAATGATTTGTTTCCTTAAATAAGAAAAATCATATCTTATTGTATCTTTGAGTAAATAAGGAGATAATTTTATCAGGACGTTGTGCTGAAAATTTGAATGGGAAATTTTTTAATTTAAATTATATTTTTTTGATATATAAAGAATCTCGCATCAGATATGAGTAATCATCGTTCATATTAAATAATTATATTTATTATTTTTAATATTAACCATTATTAATAGTAGATATAAAACAATTATAACTCACAAAATTAACATCACACACATTCATAACATTATTTGCAAAAAAATTAAAATACTACTATTTTAATAAATAATTATGAATACATAGCTGTTTCGAAACTATCTACGGATCTATTGCACTCTTTCACGCCCAAATTAGGTGTGACTATTCACGCCCAAATTAGGCCTGACTCCCAAGGCATTCACGCCTAATTTAGGCGTGAATCATCTGGTGTTGACACGTGGCAAAAAAAGTCAACTTACGAACTGTAAAACTTTGGAAAGTCATAATTTTTGACTCGGGTATCCGAATGAGGTAATTCTTTTTTTATTCCACATAACTTTTCGAGATCTACACAATGACATCTCATTTGATATATTTTATCTCTCACAAACACAATTTAAATTTACAATAATTGTATTACCAAAAAAAATTAAAAAATTATTATTAATAAGAAAAAAAATAAAGATTTAATTTGTGATTTAAACTCAAAAATTAATATGAAAAATCTGTATTAATACAGAAAATAATTAAATGAATATTCTAAACACTTGGTAGAATATTATATAAATTTGTATATATTTTAATAATTAAATAAATAACCTTGTACACTATTTTTTTCAAACACTTGGTAGAGGCAAAACAATTAAAATATTGCTTTTTTAATAAATAATTAAGAATAAGTTACCGTTTTGAACTTAATTACGAATATATTGCACTCATTCACGCCCAATAATGGTACTATAACATTAAATTCAAAATTCAAATAACCTCCAATAAGTTGATTGCATTTTGTTTTTAATAGGAGTTGATTGTGTTTTGTATTTAATAGGAGCTGATTGCGTTGTAATTTTATGAATTGGTTATAGATTATCACCAATTCAAATAATTTGCTGGAGGTTATTTGAATTTTCAATTTAATGTTATTGGAGTTGATTGTGTTTGGTATTTAATAGGAGCTGATTGCGTTTTGTATTTAATACTAAATTTGGTGTCATCTTATTTATAGATGAGTTAATCCACTTTGGTGCCATCTTTATAGTATCATTGTTGCAAATTTGAATTGTGTTTGTGAGAGATAAAATATATCAAATGAGATGTCATTGCGTAAATCTCGAAAAGTTATGTGGAATAAAAAAAAGAATTACCTCAATCGGATACCCGAGTCAAAAGTTATGGCCTTATAAAGTTTTACGGTTAAACTATTAATTTTTTGTGTCACGTGTCAATACCAGACGAGGTCACGCCTAATTTAGGCGTGAATGCCTTGGGAGTCACGCCTAACTTAGGCATGAACAGTTCCGCCTAATTTGGGCATGAATGAGTGCAATAAATCCGTAAATAATTTCAAAACAGCTATATATTCATAATTATTTATTAAAATAGTAATATTTTAATTTTTTTTTTGCCTAACTTCATTGTCATTATTATTATGTTATATAAAAATAGTATTATACCCAGAGTTGTACCGAATAATCTAGGTGGTTCTTAATTTAAAAGATGAAGCCGCAACAAAACACACAGTATTAACGGAAAGAAGTAAAACCAACCAACTAACAATCACAGAACAAAATAACACATTTTCTTTGCTTGCTGAGTCATGCTTGTTGTACACGTTGGCCTTCCCTCCTAGCTCCTAGTCTTCCACATCGTACTAGGCTTTATAACCTTTGTCCTTTGCTTTGCCAAATAATTACAATCATATCTTCACTGGATTTTCTTGCATGCTTTCCTATATAATAATAAAATAATAAAAGCATATCTGTGCTCGTTCATCTAAACTATTTAAACTTTGTTTATTCTATAATAATTTTAGATAATTTTGTTATATATATATATATATATATATATATATATATATATATATATTGTCTACTCTCATGTTGTAGGAGAGAGCATATCTATGTTAAGACACAAAGTGGTGGGATCCACTACTAAAAAAAAGAGAGAGAGAGAAAGTAACAGCATAATGATCGAAGTGTCTATGACATAAGATAAAAGTCTCCTACAATATGAGACTACTATTTCCCTATATATATTGGAAATATAAGAATCATATCGTAGGAATGGTACTATATATTTCCAAAAATATATAATTAAAAAAATAAATTTAATATTATAACTATATATTCCCGAAAATACATAATTAAAAATAAATTGTAGGATATCCTCTAACAGAAAATTCGATCCACGCATATACACCACCGGGGCAATATAGTTTTTTGGAAAAATAAAAGGAACCAAAGCAGAGTATTTACAAATGTCTGGATTGAGCTTGTGCTAATGTTGAATGGAACACAATGTTCGAGGAGGCTACAGTTCACAACCTGCTAAGATTATATTTTGATCATTGTCCCTTGTGAATTTTCTTAGATGGTCATCAGTCTTTTGCATAGAACAGGTCATTTCACTTCTTGGCGACCTGGCAAATGCATGCCTAATTCCAAACCTTCCTTCAATCACTCTAGCCTAAGAATGGTAAGGGTGATAGACAACTTGTAAAACTTAATCCCCGCCTTGACGGATTGTAATAAGCATACATTTAGAAATATTTTCTAACAAAAAAAATGTTTTATAGGCTAAAATAGTTGGGATTCAACAATGCCAAGAGATCTTTAGCAACCCTTTCTTGGAAGAACTAAACAGAAAGCTCTAAGTTGAGCTTGATGATGCCTTCTCTCAACAAAAGATGCATGGTATCAGAAGTCTAAAGGTCGCAAGTCTAAAGGTCGCAGGATCACAGATGGGGACTGTATTACTTGGTATTATCATAATAAGACTATTTCGCGTCATCTTCATAACTGAGTTTTGGAGTTGAAGAACAATGAAGGCCAAAATAAGAAAATTAAACACATTTATCTCATCTCCTGACATCAAATTTGCTACCATTTAAATCACTGATATAATAACCCACACTAATAAAATAAGAAAATAGGATTTTGCCATGCTTAAGAGAAATTAATTAGCTAAGAAATCTGATTAATAAGATGAAATCATTTTTTAGATAACAATTATATTTTAGTAATTTTTGGTAAAATGTTTCATCAACGTTCAATTAGAGAAAAGAAAACTTAAAAAAGACAATGAAATCACAGAAAGGCAGATTGATTGATATCATCATTGTCCATCCAAATAGAAAATGGACAAAATGGGGAAGAATGGACTAAGAGTGGCCAATTATGGTTGACAAGTATTACCCATTAAGCATCAGCATCAAAGAGAGAATATCAG